TCAACATATCTGGAGATGTTACATGTATATTATATATCTTTGAAAGCTGTTTTATGTTGAGTAATTCTCAGTGGTTAGGACTGTTCTTATAAGCCACGTTATATTATACATGGCAATGATATGAACATGTCAGAAGATACTCACCTGTTCTCTATCCCATCTTAGTGTGTCCCTCTGACATAGGACAAGATCCTTGCTGATTTTGATCTAGTCTTTTGAAATTTAGAACTAGTTGTTTCAAGAAGCAATTGTTCAGGGAACTAAGAAATGCGTTTCCCTGTGCCATTCTTTAGTGAGCTCTCTTTGCATTCTATTTTGTTTCTAAGACAAACCTCTGATCTAAATCTTGCCATTTCTGATGTCATTTCTGGAGTATCTTCTCCTATTAATAAAAAGGCAGCTTTGTAATGACATTGTTTACAGAAATTGGAGTCCACTGACTACCACGCCTCTTGGATCTTGCTTAATCCTCCTCCCTGTAGTTGAAGTAATTGCCCTTAACACTAGCTATCCTGGTTCTTGCTTTCCCCATGAAGCACATCTGCCCCTTTCTCTGCCAGTACAGGTGGTTCTATCTTCCAAATATATCCTGGTTCTTAATGCTCATTTTGCTTATATCAGATTCCTGTGTACATGCATCAAGTCTCTAAGATTGTATCTATGTAACAAGCCCTATCATTGAAGCTGAAGACTTAGCAAAGAAAGCTAAAGTGTTAGTAGTGCTGGATGTTAAGTATCTTCTGAATCTGAAAGTCCATTTTCTGCAACTTTTTACATCTGCAAGGGCATAGGAAGGATCTCTTGACTTGCCAGTGTAATACAGCTAGTTTGGCTTAAAAGCACAGTGTAGACACTGTGGTTAGAAGAGAAGCAGTAGCCTACCAAGTCACAGCTATAAAAGAAGTCCTAATGACTGGAAAGTGAAAACTGTATGATACAATATGGGTAGGATGCTAGATAAAACTTAAAAAAGATTCACAGGATCTATAATATACCAGCTAAATCTAATCCTTTTCTGTTTTCACCCAAGAGGTGACATTTGATTAGTAATGTCCTTGGCACTGATTATGGAATCGTGTGTCCACTATTCTACCAGTGATGTTACTTTTTTGTAGCACTTGATTGCTCCTTGAAAGTTACCTGTACAATACTTATTCCAATGCTGATCTGCTTATCTTGCAAGAACTGATGAGACAATGTCAAGGATGTTAACTTTAGCATAGTTTTCATGCTGCTTTGTTTTTCACTTCAGCCTGCTGCATAATCAGAGTGAGTAAATGCACTGGTTTAGGTTCTGACTTCCATTACAAACTGCAAGGATTTTTTGCACTCAGGTTTCTTTGCCATTACATTACTGTGATTCTGTCCTGCTATTGTGTCTTCTACACCTTCATTTTGTACCTCTGCTAGCTCTGCACAGGTCAGGTTTTGCTAGTCGTTTTCCCACAACTAATAACTTACTTTCTGGGGTAGGAGCTGCCTTCACGTGTTTGGAGACTGCATTCCGCCTTGATGCTCTCCACAGACAGATGAAGCTCCTTGGAGAAGACAACCCGGTCAGCAAGCTTCAGGTTAAACTGGAGCCAGGTATTGCTTTTGGCTGAAGCTGCTGTATGCAAAATGTCTATATATTGATGCTGGAATATAGACCAAAAAAGACTAATTTTTACATATCCTTTATAAAAGAAAAAAAATGCTGGTTTATAAACCAGTCCAAAAATAAATACGGAAACTTGCCTTGACGTTTTCTTCAAAGTTGGCTAAGTCATCTTTATAAATTCTGTTCTGTTTAACAACAGAACAGACTCAGTGAATAGAAACAGAATGTGAAAAAATGCCTTGAAAGCTGTGTGGTTTTGAGCTTCTGAATATTTAAAGTAAAGTAGTTTATAATGAAAATATTTGAAAACATCATACAAAAATCCTGTGCTATTAAATATTGCTCTTTTTATGTGTTCAGGTAAGAACTGTGTATGTAGGCACAAGCATACAGATAAACATATGTACTTGCTGTCCTGTTGAGTAAGCTATGTAGAGGCTGTTTGGTTATCCCTGAGCTAGAGGCACGTCTGCACTCCAGCATCATATACCTTCTTCATTGATAGTTCTCTAGTTCTGTGGTCACCACAGGAGGTGTGAAGCAGTCTTCAGTTTGGATGATAATTAAAACAACCTAAAATGCAAGTGGACATGATATTGGAACCAAATGGAATGGAAAAGCATGTGTTGGAAGTTTCGAAAAAGGAACAAGTAGTGATTACTTTATATTGATATTTTTAAAAATTTGTGGTAAGGTGATTCCCTGACTTTGGCACTGAAGGAAAAAAAAAAAAAGAATTTGTTGTCAAATTCCAGGTGTGGTTTCAGTGACTTCTAATTTGAAGTGACTTGTTCCATTGGGAATTAATACTTAGCTTACAATGATTGATCTCCCTCTCCCCCCAGCCTGTGTATTTGGACTGCTTCCATTTAATTTACTGCAGTAAATTAAATGTGCTGACAAGAGGCTTGTTTTGTTTTAAGTCACTACATCTCGACTGGGTGATCTCTGAGGGGTCTGTATACTTGGAAGGGTTGGAAATTGGTGTCCTCGTTAGTGTCTTATAATGTTGTTGTCTTCTCCTTTCAGGTGTAAATCCTAGTAATTTAATGAACCTTTTCACCTATGAGAAAGGCTACTGCTTTGTTTACTACCTGTCCCAGCTCTGTGGTGACCCAAGACACTTTGATTCCTTCCTAAGAGTGAGTGTGAATAAGCATGTGTTTCTACTGAGATTTAGAACTGCTGCTTTTTTTTTTCCCCAGGTTTTGTCACTGTGGCTAATTGATAGGGGTGAAGTTGAATACAAGTGTGTCTGAGATGGAAGAATGGTGTGGGCCTGTCTGTCAACCTACATGATTATTTCTACAAGATTTCTCTTAAGTGAATGTGCTCATGCTCTTCTTTTGTCTCAGATTCTGAGCTTGTGAGGTGCCAAAGACAGAGTAGTAGTATGTTTTTGTTACCTCTTGTTCTGTGCTCCAAATAAAAAAAGCCAGAAAATGCTAGTTAGAAAGCTATTCCAGCATAGATTGTCTGTGACTGGAATGATGTGACTTCATTCACTACTAAAAAGTATTATCTTGTGGGTTTTTAGCCAGGGTGACAAAGGGCATAGTTTCCTATATTGGGGCAGATTTGGTGCCTTGGAGCACATTTGCAAAACCTATAGAAAATTATGTCAGCTATTGACTTGTATTTGAAAAGTGACACAACTCATTGCTTTTTGCTGCATGCATGTTTTTCATCTCTTCCCATCCAACCCCCATTCCATCTTTCTCATACCTTTAGTTCTGTAAGTACGACTTTAGTCCATAATCCATCAGTGAATAATACAGTGGCCAGCTTTGTTCTGACTTTCCCCCTAGTGTCAAGTATGAGGAAACCATCCTGCCCTTGATATGTTAAAGTATCTGTGATCTGTGTCAGAAAAACCCCTGGTACTCAGCTGTCAATGTATTTGCAGCTACGCAACTTTTTTCTTGTTCTGGTGATTTCCTCATCTCGGGGGAGGAGGGAGAATATTTTTCTTGATGGTTTGTGGGGTTTTTTTGTTTTGTTTTCAAACCTTCCAAATAGTTGTTCTCATTCTTCCATGTCTTTTTTATTGCATGCAGTGGTTCTGCATCAAAAGGAAGCTGTCTTTCACCTAACCATAATCTATCCTTTTTACTGTTTCAGGCCTATATTGAGAAGTACAAATTTACCAGTGTTGTGGCTCAAGATCTTCTGGATTCCTTCCTGAGTTACTTTCCAGAGCTGAAAGAGCAATGTGTTGAGAGCAAAGCAGGTAAGAAATTTACTTAGTTAACTGTAAACACTGTAGAAAATATGGATAAATTTTTTACTTGGCTTGGATGATGCATAAGAAAATGCTAAGAGAAACAAAATCCTTTGGCAACAGCCAGATGTTTGTGATAGAAATGGTTGTGGTGATTTATTGTTCCTTTCTCCATGTGAGGGAACGAGACATCTTAAATTGCTGACAATTTTGTCATTAATTAGCTGAGTGGCCCTCAATTAACTTTCTCATTAACTCATCTTTCACGCGACAGACAGAATGATCAGCGCATGTGAGATTTTCACATGCTGAAATGCAAGGAAAAGGTGAACACACTTTGAAATTTCATCTATTTTAATTACAGAAAACATGCTTTGAGAACTGTAACTTTTCCCAATGTCCTTTCAATGCACATAAAATCTCTTCGCTCTCCCTTATATCTCCTATTTATAGCTTTTGGTGGATTTATGAAAGGTCTGTAATCTACTAAGTGCTTATTAACCCACGTGCTTAAAGAAATGAGACTAATGTTGTCCTGCCATGTGTCCATTCTTGCAAGTAATTATTGAACGCATTGGTCAGTTCAAACCAGACTGGCAGGGGAGTACAGCTCTTAAGGCTACTAGGTTCCTACAGCCTTTGTGGAAACTGCCTGTGGAGTGATGTAGATGAGTGAGCCTGCTGTGGGAAAAGCTGCAGCGTGAGCTCGGCGGTTGTATGTTTTATTTGGCCCACTGGTTGGCTAATGAGTTAACCACAGCATGTGCTAACTTTTGCCTGGCTAATATTCCAGGGATGCAGGAGAGAGGAGTTTTAGGGTAGATGACATGGAACGTGAAGCATTGTCAAGGATTAAGAAAGTGCTAGGAGGTAAGGGTCAAGGGGAAGAGCTTTGTTGGAAACCAGGCTCTGCTAGCTCTACCGCTTGTGGAGGAACTTTTTTTTTTTGTTTTAGTTATTGATTGTATAAATAAATTGAAAATTGCTTGGTTTTGGTGGTGGGTAGGAGGAGTTTAGTCAGCCCTCTCACCTTGTGGGTTTTTTATTTTTTTAACGATGCAGGTTTTCCGCATATTCTTCAGTCTTCCTCAGAATTCTGAGAAATGCATACACAAAAAAGTCTAATACTAGAACATAGTTTGATTGTAGATACTTGTTAGCCTGGCTGTTTTAAGAGCACATGTGTTTCTTTTACTTACTCACTGTAATGTTGAGCTCTAGAAAACTGATGGTTAAATTTGGAGAGGTGTTGCTGGCACTCTTCCAGGTGTAACGTAGGCTAGCCCAATGAGACTGCTAAGACTGTTATGTTGCTGTAACTAGAGGTTGGTCTGATTTGCTATTGTTAGAACCTCTCTTAACTGTGCTAGAAGCAGTCCTGAACCTTGAGGCAGCCAAGCCACCTGCAGAGATTCCTGCTCGACATTTTTGGTGCTCCTCATTCCAGGACTGGAGTTTGAACGTTGGCTCAATGCTACAGGACCTCCGTTAGCTGAGCCAGACTTATCTCAGGGATCCAGTCTGACCAGACCAGTGGAGATGCTCTTCAAACTCTGGACCACAGAGCCTCTGGACTCTGTTGCTGCTGCCAGCAGTGTTGACCTCACTAAATGGAGAACGTTCCAAACCGTGCTTTTCTTGGACAGATTGCTGGATGGGTCACCACTGCCACATGGTGAGTACTCTATCAGGATAGTAGAAAAGTATTCCTGGAATAATTAATTGAATTCTAAAGAGCCCTACACCTCATTGACCTTATCATTCACGTAAAGTCAGGTTGGATGGGGCTTTGAGCAACCTGGTAGAGTGGAAGGTATCCCTGCCCATGGCAGGGGGCTTGAACTAGATGATCTTCAAAAGTCCTGTGATTTTTATGATTCATTTTTCTCTGATGACCCTCAAACTTGACAAAATAGGTCATAGTTCTTCCTCCATATATGTGCTCTCTTCAGAGGTGATAAAAAAGCTTTCGGAATGTTACTCCGCTCAGCTGGACTCCATGAATGCAGAAATCCGTATCCGCTGGTTGCAGATTGTAGTCCGAAATGACTATTATCCAGACCTTTACAAAGTCCGTCGCTTCTTGGAAAACCAGGTACTAACTGCTGGATTAAAATCACTGCACCTCTCAGTGCATGAGACATGTGCATGAGACATGCGACGTGAAAGACCTTGGAACTCCTGCTTCCTGGCCAAGTGTAGACCAGGTGTGTTGCGAAGGGGCCGAGCATGGCTCACCTGCTAGCGGGTGGGGAGGAATGGGCAGATGTAGTTTGAAATGCCTACAGATAACCTCTGCTTTTCTAGCCTAACTCAATAGCCTTGTCCCAGCTCTGCCCAGTGCATTTTTTGTGTTGCTTGGTAGCAGTCCTGGCTTTTCCAGACCAGAAATTTTCACACTACTAAATCATGTGATTGTTTGAACATTTACACTTCAAGCAAGCCTAGGGCTCATCGAATTCCTTTTGGTGGTTTTTATTGTGCAGGAGCAAAAGGTTAATGCATGTGTTCGCTGTGGCCTCTTCTCCTTGGCCTTTTAAAAATAGTTCTGTTATTTGTGGAAGTAGCTCAGCCTTAGAGAGCAAATTTTTTTCAATTATCATTCATAAAAATCTTTGCATTAAACTTACTTAGAATAGACTCGGCTGTCTTTTGAAGAAATGTATTCCTTGTCTCCAGTCTGAAGTCATTCAGGGCTGTTGGAGTGTAGCTGTAGAAGAGCTGAACCTCTTGACTTTTTATTGAAGTGATATTATCCAGTTTTCCTTTTTTGCAGATGTCACGGATGTACACAATTCCACTTTATGAGGACCTTTGCACTGGCACCCTCAAGTCTTTTGCCTTAGAAATTTTTTACCAGACCCAAAACCAGCTGCACCCCAATTTGCGGAAAACCATCCAACAGATCTTATCACAGGGCTTGAATCCACTTCCTGCCATAGACACTACAGCAGTCGCTACAGACACACCAGCAATGGTGCTTGAGGACAAAGTCTCAGAGGCCACAAATGGTGCCATTTCACTCAGGGATGTTAATGTGTCTGCTTAGATCACCAGCTCATGCCAGCCGTGAAGCTTGAAAATGGGGACAGGAACAGAGGAAAGATACCAAGTGTCACCTCCTTTCCCTCAGCCCTGCAGCTGCGGTGTGTTGTTGTAACTGGATTTCTCTCCCAAAACACAAAGCAAATGTGCCTTCAAGTATCCAGCATGTGACACTGCCAGGTTTCAGAGATCTCCTTCAGTGGTGGGATGGATGTTTTGATTCAGTTTATACTGGGCAGGGACTTCTGGGCAGTTGCTTCTCATGGAAAATGGATAGCTCACTTTCCTGAGGCTCCTCTGGATGTTTCTCCAAGTTTGTTGGTTTGTGGTTTTTAGTTTTTTTCCTTTTTGGTCTGAGGCCACTGAGATATGTCCTACTTGCTCTGTGTATGTTGCTGGGGAGTGTATACGTGTCAAGCTGTCATTATCCTGATACTTGGGCTGAAGTTCTGCAAAGGAGAGACTCAGGAATTGTCAGTGGCAGCAAACATATTTTCATGTTATGTTCCTTACTGTGGCAGAGGTATTGTGATTTGGGAGGTAGGGGACTAATGCTTAAATAATTAAGAAACTAATTTTACATAGCTCCTGTTCCCCCCTGCCCCCAGGTGGCTATATAATAATAATGCTTTTTATATAAATATATATATAAAAAAGAACAGGGAAACCTTACGATGGATTTGAAATCCTTCTGTAGTTAACCCTCCCCTCAGTTCTCCCTTTGCACTCAATGGGACAAGCAATAAAGAGATGTGTAGGCTTGAATTTTCCAAAAAGTTACATTTAGGTGCCCAAATGCTATCAATTCTGGTACTAGCTGGATGCCTAAATCTTTTTAACTGTTTCAACAAGTCTAGCTGCAGCCTTTGTTAGTGTGTTAGGACGTGTAGCACGTGCATTTGTCAGATGCACTGTGTGTCTTCTATTCTGTCCTTTTGGAAGAATTAACGGGACCTTTAATGTAATTTTTTTAAAGATCCCTAGCATATGTTGGGCATGTAAGTCAACCATGGAGATATCCATGCTAAAATTTTACTGCCTTGAATAATGTTTGCCTGAATAACAGTTGCCCTGTCATACGATAGTCTGAGGGAAGCACCCTCTTTCTTGATGTGAAACTTTTAAGCCCCGCTTTAACTGAGTCTGTTTTCTGACTTGTGGTGGTGGTAAGATGCCATTTCATTTACACAGCATGCTATTTCTCTTGATCACTGGCCAGGCATGCAAAAGGAGGAAGATGCTCTCTTCCATCTGTGCCATTTAGTCTCAGGAAGCTGAGGGCAAAGCATCGTTGGGTATTACAGAGTACAGGTGATGCTTCTTAGATTCTGTGCCACATTCTTTTTAACACGTGGGTACCTGTGTGCCTCTCAGTGAGTTCCCACGAAGCATCCCTGAGCTGATGTATCACCACGATAGAGGAGCAGTTTGAATAAAAGGTGAAACATTTGGAAGAGACTCAGCTAAAGGAGATGTGAGAGAGAAACTGTTATGTACTTTGGGGCAAATTTTAGCCCTATGATGGGGATCTACATAGCACAGGAAGAGAGGAAATTAGGGAGATATTTTTTTTCCACCAAAAGAATCTGTTTACACCCATGTGTGGATGGGGACTTAGGTGCTGTTACTGGATCTGCATTTTCTGGCTTTAAATTAATTTGGACTTCACCGTAGCCTTAGCCTGGGCTGAACTGGGATAAAGCAATAATAAACTCAGGCCTCTGTAGTGCTTCATTAGTTTTCAAAATGGGCCATCAGCATTGTTGGGCTTCAGAACCCCAAGCTCTGCTCTTTGCTCCTTGAATGGGATTACCTTTTTCGTTCTGTTTTGTTTTCCCAGAAAGAATGGAGAATGATGTTTTCTGTACAAATCTCTTCCCTTTTTATTTGTTGTTCTATTGAAAGAGATTTGTGCAAGCTGACTTTCCACTTTCTGAGTTGCCGCTGTTGGTGCTGCGTCTCCTGGACCTCACTGCCAGCAGCGGCAGCTTGGCCAAGACCAGTAACCACTAGCATCTTTTGGAATCCCAGGCCTCCGTTTTAACATGTTTTATTTTGTGGGAGAATATATGTGACCCTGGTGGGAATTTTTAATTTACATGAATGCCTTATGATGATTGTCAAATTAAACTAAGCTTTGTGACAAGTTTAGCCTTTTGGGCAGTTTTTCAGCGTCCCTGCTGTAGATGTGTGGAAGAGCTAACTTGGTACATTGTCTTTGTTTTGTCCTTTTCTGGAGTGCAGCGTAGAGGGAGTTTGGAAGCTATTTAAAAGCTGCACAGCAAGAAGTTGGAGAGGTGGCAAAAGCAAATAATCAAAAGTAAATATTGTCTGTTGTCACTACAATGGACTGAAATACATCAGATCAGCTGAGTGTTTGCATATACATGCATCAGAGCAGGGAAATGCTGGCTGAACCTAACAAACTGTTCCCTGATTAAAGAACGTGAGATCTAAGTTAGTGTTTCTGCTCTCATCTCTGTGAGATCCCATCAGATGGCTATTTTCATAAGACTTGTTCTCTGAAACACAGAAGGAGAGCAAGATTTGTTGAAAGTATTCCAGGTGTCCTTCAGGTACTTTTGCTCCTCCTGCAAGCAAAGAGTGCATTTGTATTTAAGACACAAAAAATTGGCAGCAAGTTTGTGGAGATAAGCCTTCCTTTTGTGGACACAAAGTAAATTAATGCTTCAGGCTACTTTCTGTCTTGATTTGTAGTAGACTTCACATTGACAGGCAAATTAGCATGAGATTAAATGGAAAGTATTTATTTGCCTTATCTTTGGTATGTTTATTTCTGATCTGTTAAAGTGAGATTAGTACAGCAAATTGGTTTTATTTAAGCAGATGCCAAGAGATGGGGTTATCTTCTTTATTTTGAAAATGAAAGCTATTACTTTATTTCATTGCAACCTTGAGCAGGGCGACATGAGGTCTAGAAATATCACTTATGGAAAAGCTCTGAAGAGCCAAACCCTTTAATAAAATGGAATATTACTAACAATTTTTTAGCATTTCATAGCCACGTTGGTGAATACATTAAGTATAATTCTTGTTGGCTACATGTATTACTCTGTTAAGCTTGTATCACTAATTTTGCTGTCACAATACGTTCCAATGTCCTAACCATGCACTCCTCCATTAACCAAGAACAATTCTAACAAGCATCCCAAACATTCTAATTTAACCAAAATTTTCTCATGTTCTCGCACTGCAGTGACCTTGGCCATTGCCTTTTTCAGATAACACAGGACCTTCTGTACCTCTATACTAAGCACATGTACTGCACAATTCACTTAGGTCAAGTACACTTCTTCAGTCCGTTTTCCCTGTTTGTGTTTGTCCAAAGATAAAACAACGCAATACAGTCAACACTTATAAATCACGTGACACTTGTTTTCACACTTTTTACTATAGTTTGATAAAAGCTTAAAGTCATTATGACCACAATATCAGACTTCATGTATTAAAAAAACGCAATAGAAATCACAGTGTGAGATTTATGAAGCCACTGTCATCTGAAACACAGAATTATTTTTCTGTTGGGAGGACCCAATTTAAATGACACTGAATTTGTTGAAGCCCCAGGTAAGTTGTTTTAGCTTTTGATTACATGCATTCCTAAAACTGCATAACTAATTTCTAGTTTGGATTTGTCTAGTTTCAGCTTCTGGCTCTCAAAGCTACTGTTTTGTTTGCGAAACATAAACTGCTTACTGTTACTAACCTCTTTCCCATGTAAGTACCTCTTAATTCTTAAAGAAAACGGATTGAGTTGTTTGATCTCTTGCTGCAAGGTATGTCTTCCACACTTGACGTATTGCTTTAGCTCTGGAGTGGAGCATGATGTTTCAGCATCCTTTTAAAGTGGAAATTGCACACTTCCTCAAAAATTACCTCAAATGCTGCTGTGTATTCCTCACCAATTTTGTATTAATATTGTGCATTTATCCTGTTTTTTCATTAATTACAGTAGTAATTTTGGCACTGGTTAAGAGCATGTCTTACATGGGCATGGCAACCTTTTCTTTTGTAGATAAAGGAGTGTAGAGAAAAGCTGTTCTATACTCTGGAGGTGACTTTTCACTCTGTACAGAGGGAGACTAGCTGGTTGCATTAAATGATTGAGCCTGTGTGAACACTTCCCCCTCACTCTTCCTCTATGTGCATGCACCTTCTGCACTAGAAAACTCAAGTCTTACACCTCTGATTTCTTGTCAAGGGAATTAGGATTATGTTGAACATAATGTGCTCTGTGCCCCACAAGGAAGATATTCTAATGTACTAGAGACAAGTCTGTCTCTAAAATTTAAGAAATGGCATTAATGGGTTTTGCAGAGCATTGGACCCTTTTTCAAAATGGTACTTACTGATATGCAGGGTCTTAAGGAAGAGTGGGAGGTGACAGGAAAAGGTGGGAGATGGGATATTCTTCATGCTCCTATGATTTGGTGGAAAGTGTCACAGGGATTAAGTCATAATAACTGATTGACATTCCAGGTGTATGACCGAGGGAAGCATCACCTTTGTGCATTGTTTTAATTTTGGTGTCCTGTACCACCTTGTTCTTGTGTGCTGTGGTGGCTGGCCGGCATGGAAGTTTGGAGCTGTGCTCTGCCTCCAGGTGTGCCTGAGGTAATGAGAGGTCTTAGTCTAGCAGTGGAGGTCTTCCTCAGGCCAAGCCACTGTGTCTGGAAGAAGACTGAGTCTGTCTTCCCAGTAGCTGAAGAGAGCACTGCAATACTAGGCTGCTTCTTGCTGACTGATGAAAACCATCAGAGACTTCTTCCACATCATGCCCTTCTGACTATAAACCCCAAACATCCTCTCCAAAATCTCCCTTAAGCAAAATGACATTCTGTGCTGTTCCTTTGCCACAGCTCCAACCACTGTCAGCCTAGTGGTATTCCAGGGACTAAGCCTATGCCTTCCTAAGCCTGGTATCAGGATCCAAAGAATTGGAAGAGCTCCCTTGTGCAATTTGAACAACTTCTGTGTCTCAGA